AACCCCGAACGCCAGTGAGGGGACCGTCGGCGCCCGCACACACCAAGACAACCGGGAGCGTGAGCGACCGGGCTCGCCCGCAAAGAGCAACCGCGACAGGCATGGAGCGGACACGCTGAAGCTGACGGACTTCCAGGCTCAAGACCGCTGAACACGGCGGCCTCCGGCAACGCTTGCGCATTCAACGGTTCGCGGCTCCGCCGCGCTCATTTGGAGCAGTAGCCGAACATCGCCGTGTTCCAGCGATTCTGAATCCGGACTCCGCACGTTTCAGCGTGCCCGCTCCATCCCTGTCGCGGCTGCTATCTGCACCCCATCTCGCCCCCCGTGCGCAACATCACACACCTCCCCAACATTCCCCTCGACACCCAAAAACGCCGCGGTACCGTCACTCTTATGACGCAACCGTTCGACGAACACGACGCCCAGATCCTGCACGACTACCTCGACCCCGAGCTCACCCTTCTCGAACTCTGCGAGCGACACGACCTCACCACCTCCGCCCTCGACGCCTTCCTCGCCAGACCCGAGATCCGCGAGGCCATCGAACGCGTCGCCCGCCTCTCCGCCACCCGCGCCGAGCACATCAGACGCGCCAACACAGACCGCGCCGCCGCGTCACTCATCAGCATCCTCACCGACCCCCGCACCACACCCGAGACCATCCGACGCACCGCCAATGCACTCGCAGCACCAACCCCGACCGTCAGGGAGGGGCTGCCCTGTCAGCCTATAGCAACCCCGAGCGTCAGCGAGCGGGGTACACGGCGACGCACGCACACACAAAGGCAACCGGAAGCGTCAGCGAACGGGCTGAGCGACATGCAAACAGGCCACACACAAGGCAGCCCCTTCCTCACGGTCGGGGTTGGTACCACACACTCGCGCGCCAACTCAGAACAACAACCTGAACCCCGCGACGACTCGGAACTCCCGCTCGAACCGCTCGTCGACGGACCGCTCGATCGGGAACTGCACGCCGATCTCCAGCGCGTACGTCCGCGCTTCCCAGAGGAGGCTCGGGCCGAGGAAGAGCTCGTGGTCGCCGTTGGTCTCGTACAGCCCGGAGAGTTCGGCCAGCAGGTACAGGGCGCCCTCGGTGTCGGCCTTGTAGGCCTCGGGGGCGAGGCGGAAGGCGTACGAGGCGTCGTAGCGGAGCGCGTCCCGCTCGCCGTCGCCGGGGGAGAGGGGGTTGGGGTCGTCCCCGGTGTTGAACTTCCACCGCGCGCTCGCGTTGAATCCGTGGCGCCCGAGGATGAGCATCGTCGAGATCCCGAGAACGGGATCGACGGAGTCGCTCGAGATGCCGTCCGCTCCGCTCGGGAGCTCGACGCCGGCGATCGCCATCACGCGCCACGTGTCGACGGGCCCGAGGTCCTCCTGGTGGAGGCGGTAGCGCGCAAGAAGCGTGAAATCACCCAGCGTGTAGAAGCGCTCCTCGCCGGAGGGCGCATCAACATCGCGGAACACGAGCGGCAGGTCGACGCTCACGGAGAACCGGCCCGTGATCCCCGCGGTGATGTTGGTGTTGAGCACCCACTGCTGGGCCTCGGTGCCCGTGCCGTCGGGGGCGTTGTCGAAGCGGGTGAAGGTGGCGGTCTCGCGGACGGTGAAGCGGCCCTTGCCGGGCTGCGTGGAGGCGTCGCCGAAGACGGGCGCCTGGGCGAGCGCGGGCGTCGCGAACGCGCAGAGCCACAGCACGATGAACGTCGTGAGTCGGATCATGGTTGTCGCTCCTCAGATCAGCGGACGCGGGTGACGCGGACGGGGGTGAAGCCGGCGTCGCGGATGACGGCGGCGAGCCGCTGCGCGGAGGGGCGGGGCCCCTCGCCCGCGAACGCGACGCGGACGTCGCCCAGCTCGAGGTTGACCTCCGCCGAGGCGACGGCGTCCAGAGCGGTGAGCGACTTGCCGATGTTCTCGGCGCACTTCGGGCAGCTCATGCCGTTGACGCCGACCGCGACGGCGTCCCAGGCGATCGGCTCGGTGCTCGTGAGGGGGACCGACTCGGCATCCACGGCGGCGGCAGACGACGCGGGGGCGTCGGCGTGCGCGGCGGTCTCGGAAGACGACGAAGCGCACGCGCCGAGCGCGAGCGCGGAGAGGGACAGAACAGCAACGGCGCGAAGATCGAAGCGCATGGGAAAACTCCTGGAGTGGATAATGATGGTGGTTGAACGTTGGCGTGGAACACGGCGGGCGCGCGGAATCCGCGCGGGGGTGTCCGCCTACGTTCGCCACACACTCAGGAGCGATTGGGTCCGGGCTTTGGGGTTCTCACGCCGCGCGGCCGCACGGACGGGGCCGAAACGCGCCGTGCGCGCCTGGTCGTGCTCGACGCTCGCCAGATCGACGGCGCGGAGCACGGCGAGCAACTCGTTGCGAGCGGGCGCGGGGGCCTGCGGCTCGTTGTCGGTCGGGAGGGGATCGTCAGCGTCCATCGCGCAGGGGCAGGCGTCGCCGCAGGTGCACAGCGGGCAGCAGCGGTGAGCCTGAGCGGGCCCGGGCTCGGGCGCGATCGCCGCCATGGCCGGGGCCCGGGCGATCGGAGCGAGCAGGAGCAGGATGAGCGAAAGAACGCGGACCATCTCGGGTGATTTTACACACGGAACTCGGTTGAGATGCGGGGCGTGCCGGCCCGCTCACTCGCGTTCGTGGCTGTTACGGGCACGGCCCGAAAAGGAACAAGGCCGCGACAAGGTCATTGAAGTCGACGGTCCCCGATCCGTCCGCGTCGCACGCGTCGGTCCCCGGGCCGAAGTTGAAGAGCATCGCTACGAGGTCGTTGAAGTCGACGGCGCCGTTGTCGTCGCAATCGCCCGGGCAGGGCGTGGTCGCGGGTTGGAACTCGAAGCAGCCCAGGTCGACAATGGGCGCTTCGCCGTGGCCCGTGTCCGGGGTGCTCGGGTCGTCGGTGAACCTCGGGTTGCCGTCGAGGTCGGTGGTGAGCCCGGCGGGGATCGCGTCGTTGTCGCCGGCGTCGATCGCTGGGGAGCCGGCGCTGAGCCGGAAGTCCTGCGCGGTCCCGCCGGCGCCGCTCTCGTTGACGAACAGCGGGTTGGCGTCGATGTTGCCCGCGCCGGCGAACCCGCCCTGGATGAGCGAGCGCTCGACCGTCGCGCGCGGGACGACATTGATCAGCGTCGGCACGAACCCGTTCGCCCAGACCACGGAGGACACGACCTCGAGGCGCGGCGACAGGCCGCCGACGGCGACGACAGAATGCCCGGTGCCGAAGTTCCGCGCGACGGTGCACGCCTCCAGGCGGAGCGTCGCGGAGATGAGCCGGCCGACGCTCCCGATCCCGGAAGAGACGTTGTTGCTGAAGAGGCAGTTGGTGAAGGTGCACGCGGCGTTGTCGGCGAAGACCGCGCCGCCGTCACGGTTCGAGGCGTTGTCGTCGAACGAGCAGGTGCGGAACGCGCCGACGGCGTCGCCCGCGAGCGCGATCGCGCCGCCGTCCGCCGCCGCGACGCTGCCGGTGAAGCCGCAGCCCGTCACCGTGAGCGTGCCGGAATCGAACGAGATGGTGCCGCCGTTGTTGTTCGCGATGTTGCCGGTGAATTCGCATTGTTCGACGGTCACGGCCCCGTCGCCGGCCGCGCGGATCGCGCCACCCGTGCGCCCGATGTTGCCGTCGAAGACGCACCCGGAGATCTCGACGCTCTGCGTGTCGCTAAGGCGGATCGCGCCGCCCGTGGCGGCGTTGAACGAGATGTTGTCCCCGAAGTGGCACCCGGTCAGGACGGCCGCCGCGCCCGCCGCGCCGAAGAACGCGCCGCCGCCGTTGTTGATGCTGGCGCGGACGGAGTTGCCGGAGAAGACCGAATCGCTGATGCGAGTCGTGCCCGCGCCGGCGCTGAACACGCCGCCGCCGCGGTCGGCGGTGTTGCCGACGAACTCGCAGTCGGTGATCGTGGGCGAGGCGTTGTCGTTGTGGATCGCGCCGCCCTCGTTGCCGTTGTTGTTACAAAAAAGCGTGCCGGCGATGCTCGGCGCGGCGCCGTTGATGTTGAGCATCGCCCCCGCGACCGGGCCGTTGCAGTCTGTGAAGGTGCACCCGATGATCGTCGGGCTCGCACCGTCGTTGAGCAGACCGCCGACCGCGGTCGGCGCTTTGTTGAACGAGCCGCGGACGATCAGGTCCTCCAGCACGGTGCCGGTTCCCTCCCCGCTCGCGCACGTGATCACCGGGTCGAGAAAATTCCCGGTGATGACCGTCGACATGAACTCGCCGTCGATGTTCGGGTTGAAGCCCCGGAGCGTGACGGCCTTGCCCAGAAGATCGATCGACTCCGCGTACACGCCGGGCTGCACGAGGATGGTGTCCCCGTCCGCCGAGGCGTCGATCGCCTGCTGGATCGTGGGGAACTGCCCAGGCACGCCCAACTCCGCGGCGAGCGCCGGTCCGGCGGGGAGTGCGAAGGGGATCGCGGAGATCAGCATCCGGGCGAGTCGATTCTGCATGGGCGGTCTTCCGTGGCGTTGAGGGGAGGACGATCACCCCAAACTAGCCCGGGCCGCTCCGGCTCAAGTGAAAAATCTCGAATGATCGAGGCGGCCCGATGCGGAAAGGCCCCCGCCTTGCCCGAACGCCGCGCGGGGTTATTCCACCGTCACGCTCTTCGCCAGGTTCCGCGGCTTGTCCACGTCGTGCCCACGCAGCATCGCGGCGTGGCACGCGAGGAGCTGGAGGGGGATCACAGTGAGCAGCGGGCTCAGCGGGTCGATGATGTCGGGGACGTAGAAGACGTCGTCCGCGAGATTCTGGATCTCTTTGTCGCCCTCGGTCGCGACGGCGATGATCCGCCCGCCTCGGGTTTTGACCTGCTCGATGTTGAGCATGACCTTGTCGTACTGCGGGCCCTGGTTGGCGATGAACACGGCGGGCATGCCGTCGTTGATCAGCGCGATGGGGCCGTGCTTCATCTCGGCCGCGGGCATGCCCTCGGCGTGGATNNTAGGAGATTTCCTTGAGCTTGAGCGCGCCCTCGAGGGCGACGGGGTAGTTGTACCCGCGTCCGAGGAAGAGCCAGTTCTCCTGGTCGATGTACTTGCTCGTGACCTCGCGGATGTGGTCGTTCTGCTCGAGGATCTTCTCGATCTGGTCGGGGACGCGCTGGAGCTGCTCGAGGACCTCGCGGCACTGCTCGACGGACATGACGCGCCGGCGGCCCATGTACAGCGCGAGGAGGGAGAGCACCATGACCTGCCCGGTGAAGGCCTTGGTGGAGGCGACGCCGATCTCGGGCCCGACGCGGAGGTAGACGCCGGCGTCGGTCTCGCGCGGGATGGAGCTGCCGACGACGTTGACGACGCCCAGCGTGAGCGCGCCGCGTTCCTTGGCTTCTTTCAGCGCGGCGAGGGTGTCGGCGGTCTCGCCGGACTGGCTGACCGCGATGAGCGCGGTGCCGTCGACGATGATGGGGTTGCGGTAGCGGAACTCGCTCGCGTACTCGGTCTTGGCGGGGACTTTCGCGAGGTCCTCGAGGAGGTACTCGCCGACGAGCGCGGCGTGGTACGCGGTGCCCTGGCCGGTGAGGATGGTTCGGCGGGCGCGGATGAGCTCGCGGGCGTACTCCGCGACGCCGCCCAGGACGACCATGCCGTCGCTCGGCTTGATGCGGCCCTTCATCGTGTTGCGCAGGCGCTCGGGCTGCTCGAAGATCTCCTTCATCATGAAGGTGTCGAAGCTGCCGAGTTCGATCTGCTCGAGGTCGAGCTCGAGCTGCTGGACCTTGGGCGAGACGGGGACGTCGTCGAGCGTGGAGGTGCGGATGCCGGCGCGGGTGAGCTTGCAGACGTGCTCGTCCTCCAGGGCGAAGGCCTGGGAGGTGTGCGCGACGATCGCGGAGGGGTCGGACGCGACGACGAACTCAGAGGCGCCGATGCCGACGATGAGCGGCGAGCCCTTACGCGCCACGACGAGGGTGTCCGGCTCGCGCTCGCAGATCACCGCGATGGCGTAGGCGCCGCGGATCTCGCGCATCGCGGCCTGGACGGCCTTCTCGAGCCCGCCGCGGGTCGGGCCGCCCATCTCGGTCGTCTCGGGGTTGTCGCCCGGCTCCTCGTAGAGCTCGGCGATGAGCATCGCGATGACCTCGGTGTCGGTGTCGGTCGTGAAGGTGCGGCCGCGACCCTGGAGGTACTTCTTGAGCGCGGCGTAGTTCTCGATGGTGCCGTTGTGGACGATGGCGATGGTGCCGGCGTCGTCGGTGTGGGGGTGGGCGTTGCGTTCGGTGGTGTCGCCGTGGGTGGCCCAGCGGGTGTGGGCGATGCCCAGGGTGCCCTTGAGGCCGGGGTGCTTGTTGATGCGTTCCTCGAGGACGGCGACGCGTCCGACGGTCTTGACGACGTCGAGCTTGCCGTTGAGCACGGCCATGCCGGCGGAGTCGTACCCGCGGTACTCCATGCGCTTGAGGCCTTCGAGGAGGAGCGGCTTGGCGGGCTTGGATCCGATGTAGGCGACGATGCCGCACATAGGCGTGTTTCCTGGAGGGAGGGATGGCGGGGCCGGATCAGGGATATCGACCGGACAAGGGTACGGCGGCCACCATGCGGGAGTTCAAGGGGGATTGTCGCAGAAAATGGATTGTTTGGTTCATGGCAGGGTCAGTTGAAATGGCCAAATGGGATGAGGAGCGCGGCTTCGCCGCGGGTTGGGTTGGCGCAGGCGTTGGTGGGCGCTGTTGTGTTTCAGCGGGTGCGTCACGGACGCCGGGCGGTTCAGCGTGTCCGCTCGATGACTCTCGCGGTTGCTATGGCGTGTTGTGGTGATCGGGGAGCCCGGTCGCTCACGCTCCCGGTTGTCGTGGTGTGAGCGGTCACTCGAAGGCAACCCCAAGCGTGAGCGCGGGGGCCTCAAATGATGCGGCGGAGCCGCGTCCTGTTAACGAACAAAGGAGTGCTGCCCTGCGCGGCAGCACTCCTTGTCGTGCGATCGAGGTCCCTCCAGATCCGCCTCCCGAACGGGACCTCTCACCCGTGCGCTGTGAGAAGAAGAATCGCTTGCAAGAGCCGATACGAGCGGTTGGGCCCGTATCAACCCATCTTTCACCCCATCAGACGGCCTCAGTCCGAAGGGACGGGAGGGCTAGAGCAGCGGGCGTGCCAAAGGGTGAAAACGGGCTTTGAGGGGTGGAAACGGGGGTCGAGGGGTGTGCCGGGCGGCGGAGCGATGATATTCAATCATTCAATTGATTGTATTTCATCGTCATTGATCGACCGATGATATATAATCATGACAGTGGACCACCTCCCCATCGACTGCCTGCCTCTGCCGGTGATGATCCTCTCCGCGTCGATGGGGGTGGTCCGCGCGTCGATCCGGGCGCGGGACGTGTGCGGGAGCGACCCGACGGGGGAGGCGGTGGGGGAGGTGATGCGGCTGACGAGCGAGCAGCGCGCGAGCCTGGACGGTTTGAAGGGCGGGGACCGGGTGGCGCTCCGCGAGGTGCGGATGCTCGTCGGGGAGGAGGGGTACGTCGATGTGCTGGCGCAGGGGCTCCCGGGCGGGGAGGGTGTGGTGCTCGTGCTTGTTGACGCGGACCGCGCGCGCGCGGAGCGGGAGCGGCGGCTGCGGCTCGAGGAGGCGCTGCAGCAGGCGGAGCGCGACCGCGAGCGGATGGCGGAGCGCGAGCGCGAACTGGCGCAGAGCGACCACCCGAAGCGGATCATCGGCTCGTCCGCGCCGATGCTCGCGATGCAGGAGCAGATCCGGCGCGTGGCGCCGAGCCCGGCGACGGTGCTCGTGCAGGGCGAGTCGGGCTCGGGCAAGGAGCTCGTCGCGAGCGCGATCCACGAGTCGTCCAATCGGCGCACGAAGCCGTTCATCGCGGTGAACTGCGCGGCGATGCCGGACACGCTCATCGAGAGCGAGCTGTTCGGGCACGAGCGCGGGGCGTTCACGGGGGCGGACCGGCAGAAGCCGGGCAAGTTCGAGCTGGCGGACACGGGGACGCTTTTTCTCGACGAGATCGCGGAGCTGTCGCCCCCCGCGCAGGCGAAGCTTCTCCGTGTGTTGCAGGAGGGCGCGTTCGAGCGGGTGGGCGGGACGGAGACGATCCGGGTGGACGTCCGCCTCGTCGCGGCGACGCACCGGGACCTGGCGCGGCGCGTCGAGCAGCGGATGTTCCGCGAGGACCTGTTCTACCGGCTGAATGTTTTTCGCATCGAGGTGCCGCCGTTGCGCGAGCGGATGGAGGACCTGCGCGAGCTGGTCGAGCACTTCCACCGCAAGCACGCGACGCGGATGGCGCGGGAGGTGCTGCCGATCTCCGAGCGGTCGTTCCGGCGGATGCTGAGCTACCGGTGGCCGGGCAACGTGCGGGAGCTGGAGAACGCGGTGGAGCGGGCGACGCTGCTCGCGACGGGGGCGGAGCTGGAGATCGAGCTGCCGACGAGCCCGGCGACGGATCGGGGCGAATCGGCGCACGGGGGGGCGTCCGGGGGGGCGGATACGTCGAGTGTGCCGCGGGATGTGCTGCTGGATCTCAATCTGGAGCAGCTGCAGCGGTTGCAGATCATGCACGCGCTGGAGACGTGCGGGTACCACGTGTTCGGGGACGAGGGGGCGGCGAAGAAGCTGGGGATCAACCCGAGGACGCTGATCTCGCGGATGGATAAGCTCGGGATCCCGCGGCCCAGCGTGTTGCGGAAATCGTTTGGCGGTGAGTGATGAGCGACGGGAAGAAGCACACGTTGCGCGACGCGTTGATCGAGGGGTTCGCGCGCGCGGTGACGGGGCGGCCGGTGGTGACGCTTCTCGTGTGCGCGGTCATCGCGGCGGTGTCGCTCGGGTACACGGCGATGAACCTGGAGTATCACTCGGACCGCTCGGCGCTGGTGGCCCCGGAGGTGGCGTGGCAGAAGCGATACGCGGAGTACAAGGAGCGGTTCCCGCGGTGGGACGATCTGATCGTGGCGGTGGACCTGTCGGGGAGCGACGAGGCGACGGCGGGGGCGTTCCTGCGGGAGCTGCGCGATGAGCTGCTCATCGGGGAGTCGGGTTTTCGGGAGGTGACGATCGGATACGACGCGGACGCGGTGCGCGCGGACGCGCTCTTCTCGCGTGATGTTGATGCGGTGGGGGAGGCGGTGGCGTCGATCCGGGCGTCATCGCCGGTACTCGGGGCGGCGGACGTGGCGTCGCTGGTGCGGTTGAGCGATCTGCTCGGGACGCGTCTGAGCGAGGAGCAGAGAACGGCGCTGGGGGACCTGCTGGCGCGGGCGGAGGCGGTCGCGCAGGGGGGCGAGGGGAAGCTGCTGGACGGGGGCGGGGATCGGCTCGAGCTGCTGACGACGGGGACGGGGAACATCGCTTTCGCGTTGATCGAGCTGGGTGAGGAAGCGGCGCTGGACGCGTCGATCGCGACGGTGCGCGAGGCGAAAGACGCGTTGCTCGCGCGGCCGGAGTTCGCGTCCCTCGAAGCCGGCGTGACGGGCGTGCCGGTGCTGGAGTCGGACGAGACGGTGCAGTCGACGAGGGACGCGACGTTCGCGAGCGTTCTTTCGCTCTCGCTCATCGCGGTGCTGATGATGATCGTGTACCGGCGCGTGGAGGTGCCGGTGCTGGCGATCGCGGCGCTGCTTCTTGGTGTGGGCGCGTCGTTCGGGTGGGTGACGCTGGCGGTGGGGCACCTGCAGGTGTTGAGCGTGGTGTTCGCGGTGGTGCTGCTCGGGCTTGGTATTGATACGGCGATCCACTTCATCGCGCGGCTCGAGCTTGTTCACGCGGATCACGATCACATGCGCGGGGCGCTCATCCAGACGTTCCGGGGGGTGGGGCCGGGGGTGCTGACGGGGGCGCTGACGACGGCGGCGGCGTTCGGGGCGACGGCGTTCACGGAATTCACGGGCGTGGCGGAGATGGGGCTCATCGCGAGCGGGGGGGTGATCATCTGCACGGTGTTCGTGGTGGCGGTGTTCAGCGCGGTGATGGTGCTTCTTCCCAAGCCGGAGAAGCGGATCCGCTCGCGCGAAGGGGGCGAGGGGAAGCCGTTCATAGGGTCGGTCGGGGTGTGGATGGATCGGCACGCGCGGGCGATCGTTGCGTTGAGCGTCGTCGTGCTCGGCGCGTGCGCGTGGCTCGCGTCGGGCGTTCGGTACGACCCCGACCTGATCAAGCTCATGCCGGCGAACGCGGAGAGCGTGCGGTGGGAGCGGCGCATCAGCGCGGATGACGCGCAGAGCGTGTGGAACGCGGTGGTGATCGCGGAGGGGGAGGACGAGGCGCGGGCGGTGATCGCGCGGTTCCGGGGTGTGCCGGAGGTGGCGGGCGTCGGGGGCGCGGCCGAGATCATCGACGGCGGGGCGGACCTGACGGAGAAGCTGGCGATCGCACGCACACTGCCGGATGTGTCGGCGGTGGCGCCGTCGACGGGCGCGGACCTCGAGGCGCTGCGCGCTTCGATGCGCACGCTCGCGGAACGGTGGGCGGGGGAGGACGAGCGGATCGCGGGGCTTGCCGCGTCGCTCGCGGGGATGGGGGACGCGGAACTCGCGCGGGTGAATGGGGCGTACGTGCGCGAGCGGGAGGCGCTGATCGAGCGGATCCGGGTGCTGCGGGGGTCGGCGGGGCCTTCGCTCGATTCTCTGCCTGCGGCGTTGCGGGAGCTTGTGGTGTCGGATCGGGGGGATGGGGATGGTGTTCTCTTGCGTGTGTACCCGCACGCGCCGCCCCCCGGGAGCACGGTGCTGTCTCCCGAGAATCTGGAGCCGTTCGCGGAGGCTGTTCTTCGTGTCGCGCCGGGGGCGACGGGGCCGACGATCCAGATTTACGAGTCGTCCAAGCTGATCACGCGGTCGTACGCGAACGCGGCGCTCTTCGCGCTGGCGGCGATCGTGGTGCTTTTGCTGGTCGATTTCCGGAATGTTCTTGACGCGGCGTGCGCGCTGGTGCCGGTGCTGGCGGGGACGGTGGTGCTGCTCGCGGTGATGGCGCTGATGGGCGAGCCGCTCAACTTCGCGAACACGATCGTGATGCCGCTCATCGCGGGGCTGGGCGTGGACGCGGGGGTGCACGCGGTGCACCGGTGGCGTGCGCAGCCGGCGGGCGCCCCGGCGGGCTTGGCGGGGGGGACGGGTCGGGCGATCGGGATCACGACGCTGACGACGGTGATCGGGTTCGCGTGCATGATGACGGCGGAGCACCGGGGGATCCGGTCTTTGGGGATGGTGATGAGTGTGGGGTTGCTGGCGGTGTGGGCGGCGGGGGTGACGGTGTTGCCGGCGCTTCTTCGGGTGCGTCGAAACCAACCCCGACCGTGAGGGAGGGGCTGCCAACCGTCTCCGTGCGCACAGGGCAGCCCCTCCCTCACGGTCGGGGTTGGTAGCGGTACACTTCGGGGTATGCCAGACGCCACATTGCTTGATTGTTTCCCGACGCCTTCGGATACGCCGTTCGTGATCGAGCACGTGAACGAGGAGTTCACCTCGGTGTGCCCGGTGACGGGGCATCCGGACTTCGGGGATATCGTGGTACGGTTTGTGCCGCGGGCGGGGAAGGACGGGGGGGTGTGCGTGGAGCTGAAGAGCCTGAAGCTGTACTTCCAGTCGTTCCGGAACGAGGGGATCTACTACGAGGCGGTGACGAACGCGATCCGGGACGACCTGGTCGCGGCGATGGGGCCGGTGTGGCTGCAGGTGGTGACGATCTGGCGGGGGCGCGGGGGGATCCGGAGCGTGGTCCGGGCGACGCATGGGGAGGTGCCGGGGGAGTGGGTGGCGATTTAGGGGGAGAGGCATCAGGCACCGGGCATCAGGCATCAGGGAAGGAACGCGGCTTTGCCGCGGGCTGGGTGGACGCAGGCGTTGGCGGAGATCGCCTTGTTTCAGCGGGCTTGAGCACGGACGCCGGGCGGTTCAGCGTGTCCGCTCGTTTCCACTCGCGGTTGTTATTCGCCAATGGTGAGGCTTGGCGCTATCCTGTTCCGCCATGCAACTGCTTTTAGCGACGTCGAACAAGAAGAAGCTCGGGGAATTCCGCGCGATTGTTGAGGCTCTGGACGAGGGGCTGGAGGTGATCGGGCTGGATGATCTGGGGATGGATGATCTCGTTGAGCCGGAGGAGGACGGGGCGACGTTCGAGGCGAACGCTCGGAAGAAGGCGATCGGGTACGCGAAGCAGACGGGTCGGTGGTGCGTGGCGGACGATTCTGGGCTCGAGGTCGATGCGCTCGATGGGGCGCCGGGTGTGCACTCGGCGCGGTACGCGGGGAAGGGGAAGAAGCGCAAGAAGCGGGACAAGCACAACAACAAGAAGCTGCTGGCCGAGCTGGGGAACCTGCCCGAGGAGGTGCGGACGGCGCGGTTCGTGTGCGTGATGGCGCTGGCGATCCCGGACGACTTCGCGCCGGAGGGGGCGACGATCGCGGCGCTGACGCGCGGGGAGTTCGAGGGGTGGATCGGGTTCGAGGCGCGGGGGGAGAACGGGTTCGGGTACGACCCGCTGCTCGTTCTCGAGGACGGGCGGACGAGCGCGGAGCTGGAGCCGGAGGAGAAGAACGCGGTGTCGCACCGGGGTCAGGCGTCGCGGACGATGATGAAGCATGTGGCTTCGATGCGGGGGGCGTTGGCGGAAGAGGCACTGGGCACTGGGCACTAGGCACTGGGGGAGGAGCGCCGCTGCGCGGCGGGTTCTTTTGGCCCCTCATCCGTCTGCGTCGCTTCGCTCGCAGACACCTTCTCCCGCGAGGGGAGAAGGGGCTGTTCAGGATGCGTTGATGTGCATTGTGATTGTGCGACCTTTGGTCCGCTCGCTTCCGCTCGCGGCTGCTATGAGATCACCAGAGCGCTCGGACTCGGATGGTTTCTTCCATGGTGCGCAGGTGTTTGCAGATCTCTTCGGTGTCGCCGGAGGAGATGTCGAGGATGACGTAGGCGTAGCTCGGGTTGGACTGGAGGTACTCGGCGGCGATGTTGGCGCCGGTCTTTGAGATCGCGGCGTGCATTTTGGAGAGGACGCCGGGGACGTTGCGGTGGTCGTGGAGGATGCGGTGGTGGTCGGCGTGGAGTTTGGGGAGCTCGACCTCGGGTTTGTTGACGCAGGTGGTCGTCGAGCCGTTGTTCATGAACTTGACGAGCTTGGAGCCGACCTCGTTGGCGATGTTGCGCTGGGCTTCGAGGGTGGAGCCGCCGATGTGCGGGGTGAGGATGACGTTGGGGAGGTTGCGGAGGGGGGAGTCGAAGGGCTCGGCGCCGCTGGCGGGCTCGGCGGGGAAGACGTCGGCGGCGGCGCCCCCGATTCGTTCTTCCTTGAGCGCGAGGGCGAGGGCGTCGATGTCGACGACGTCTCCGCGGGCGTTGTTGATGAGGTGGGCGCCGCGTTTCATGAGGCGGAGCTGCTCGTCGCCGATGAGGTTGCGGGTGCTGGCGGTGGAGGGGACGTGGACGGTGACGGTGTCGGACTCGGCGAGGAGGTGCTCGAGGGAGTCGGCGCGGACGGCGTTGCCGAGGGGGAGGGTGTCGATGACGTCGTAGAACAGGACGCGCATGCCCATGGCCTCGGCGAGGACGGAGACCTGGGAGCCGATGCGCCCGTAGCCGATGATTCCGAGGGTGCGTCCGCGGATCTCGTGCGCGCCGCTCGCGCTTTTGCGCCAGGTGCCGGCGTGCATCTGGGCGGAGCGGTCGGTCAGTCTGCGGTGGAGGGCGACGATCTCGGCGATGGTGAGCTCGGCGACGGAGCGTGTGTTGGAGAAGGGGGCGTTGAAGACGGCGACGCCGTTGGCGGCGGCGGCGTTGAGGTCGACCTGGTTGGTGCCGATGCAGAAGCAGCCGACGGCCCAGAGGTGGGCGCAGGCGTCAAGGAAGCGCGCGGTGATCTGTGTTTTGGATCGGATGCCGACGAGGTGGGCGTCGGCGCAGGCCTCGATGAGCTGGTCTTCGCTGAGCGCGCCGTCGTGGGACGTGACGGTGTAGCCGGCGTTCTCGAGGATGTCGCGCGCGTGGGGGTGGATGCTCTCGAGGAGGGCGACGCGGATCTTGTGGAGGGGGTAGGAGGTCTCCATGCGCGGGTGGTGCTCCGGGTGCGGTGCGGCCTGGGTCATGGGCGTCAGTCTACGCGTCGCGCGTGTCGGCGTTGGATGAGAAGTCGAGGAAGACGCCGGTGCCGTGTGTCCGGCCCGCGGCGATCGCCTTCCGGGCGAGGGTTGTGTCGTTGGCGGTCGTCGCGTTGGAGCGGGGGAAGGGCGCGTCGGGTTGCTCGCGGCCCAGGAAGGGGCAGAGCTTGTCCCAGCCTTCGCCGTTGGTGACGTCCATGACGAGGAGGTCTTCCGGGCGGTTGGCGAAGTGTGTGGCGACCTCGGTGAGGTGGCGTTTGTAGGCGGCGAGGAATTGATCGGGTGTGGGCCAGGCGTCTCCGTAGACGCGTTCGCGGAGGAGGCCGCGGGCGCCGGCGGTGGAGTTCTTCGGGAGGTTGGTGAAGTGTGTGATGACGCTCCGGAGCCAGGCCTCGGCTTCGCGGAGGGTGAGGATGAACTTGCTCCCGGGGAAGGCGGCGTCGAGCTCTCGGAAGAATCCGGCGACGGCGATGTCGGCGCCGGCGTCGAAGGTGTTGAAGGTGGAGAAGTCGCCCCGGAAGAAGGGGTCGGGGTCGGGGTTGTGGGCGGGGAAGTAGCCCAGGAGCTGGAGGGCGTGGCAGAGGCTTGTCGTGCCGGTGCGGCTCAGGCCGATGACGAAGACGCGGGGGAGGAGCAGTTCGCGGTCGGGGTCCATAGTCCCGTTATCGGTGCGCGGCGCGGGGGCGTCCAGAATGATCGGGAAGTCGGTCAGAAGGGGGCGTCGGAGCGGGCGCGGACGCGTTCGCGGGTCCCGGGGTCGTCGAATTCGAGTGTGGTGGCGTGGAGCATGAGGCGCGGGGCGGAGTGCTCGTCGCCGTAGAGGACGTCTCCGAGGATGGGGAGGCCGAGGCCGAGGGGGTGGGCGGCGTGGACGCGGAGCTGGTGGGAGCGGCCGGTGATGGGGGTGAACTCGACGCGTGTCGTCCCGTTCTCGCGCGCGAGGACGCGGAAGTTGGTGAGGGAGGGTTTGCCGCGTTCGGGGTCGTGGATCTGCATGGGTCGGTTGTCGATGTCGGCGCGGATGGGGAGGTCGATGGTTCCTTCGTCGGGTTCGAGTGTTCCGTCGAGGAGCGCTGTGTAGGTCTTGTGGACGGTGCGGGCCTCGAATTGTTTGGAGAGGTCGCGCTGGGCGTCGGCGTCGAGGGCGAGGACGAGGAGGCCGGAGGTGTCCATGTCGAGGCGGTGGACGACGATGGGGCCGGTGGCGTCGGGGAAGTGGGCGCGGACGCGCTCGGCGACGCAGTCGGTCTTGTCGGGGCCCTTGCCTTTGACGGAGAGGAGGCCGGGGGGTTTGTCGACGACGACGAAGCGGGGGGAATGGAGGTTGATGGTGAGGGGGAGGGGGGGCATGGGGTCAAAAATAGCCAAATAGCAAAGGAGCAAATGGCTAAATTTTTGAGGAGCGCCGCTTCGCGGCGGGTTGAGTTGGGTGTGATTCATCTTTGATGAATCACGTGAACCCACCCTAGCCCTCCCTCGGGGAGGGGCTTGAAGAGGAGCGCCGCAGCGTGGCGGGTTCAGAGAGAGAGAACCCACCCCCAACCCCTCCCTCCGGGAGGGGCTTCAGGGAGCGCCGCTTCGCGGCGGGTTGGGTTGGCCCCCTCATCCGGCCGACTTTGTCG